TAACTTTGCTCTGCTTCACTTCAGCAGCATCAGGTACTATTCATGTGTTGATTAATGGTTTTCTTTTGTTTCTGATCTACTGCAGAATATTTTTATAAAATCCCAGGTGTTTTATCCTCAGCTACTTTGACACAAAGGCATCTGCTGTGATGTTCACACCTTTGATAAAGTCTCACAAGTGTCAGCTTTCTTTTTATAGATACAAAAATATGGAGATGTGCTGATGCATGATCTGAATTATAATATTTTTGACTGTCTGAGGCAAAATTTTCCCCGATTCAAATCGAATCGTGGATTGAATCGATTCTAGAAATCAGTGACGATACCCAGCCCTAGATATATTTGACTGTTTGGGGGATTCAGAAGAAATGCTGGTCTTCTGATGGGCGAGTTTCACTACTTTATACAAACTGTTTCAACAGATTAAATAGCTTAGGGTTCAGTATCTTGCCCAGAAATAGTTGGGGATCAAACTACAGACCTTCTCTTTAGCAGACAACCCGCTCTACCTCCGAAACCACAGGGTTGGGAAATGATGATTAAAAGCAGTCTGCTGACATTGTTAAAGAACGACACATCTGCAAACTTCAGACTGCTCATTGTCTGGCCGACCAAACAAAATATCTACATCTGAATAGCCAAAAGCAGCACTTTTGTGCTTTTCAAAACTATTTTCATAATTAACCTTATTACTGTATGTTAAGTCTGTATTGAAAAAAAATCACTTTTGCAGCTCAGGAGCAGCTCAGGAGGTAAAGAGAAGTTCAGCAGTCCACTTCCTGAGCTCCTCCATCCTGTGTGATACTGAAACATAAACTGTCCCAACGCATTCATCAGTGGGGTCAGCAGGTAGAGCAGGTCATCTGCTAATTGAAAGGTTGGTGGTTCAATTCCTGGCTGCTCCAGTCTGCATGAAAAAGTATCCTGAACCCTGAGCGTTCATTGGAAAGAGGCACGTTGTATAAAACCCTTAGAATGCTCAAGTAGAGTCGAAAAGCACTACAGAACCAGTCCATTTCTATATGTGTGTGTGTGTGTGTGTGAGAGTGTGTGTGTGTGTGTGTGATTAGACTAGACATGCACATTTAGCATTACTCTTGCCAAATCACTTCATAATTATTATATGTTTTCCATTTTATTAGGTTACCACATATAACCACCTCTTACAGATCACGCTGTCAAAGATGTCAGTTATGTTTGAGGAGACTGTCAGGGAGGAACACCACCTTCTCCATCAGACAGACCTCCATGGGAAGCAAGTGCGGAAGAGGTGGTCACCGTATGGACAGCAGCGGACCATGTGGAAGAGCGTCTTTATCACTAGAAGGGTACGGGGTAATGCTGGGATGCTGTCCTCTTCTTCAGCAGTCACAAATGCAGCAGGGAGATTGATAGCGTGGAGTCATTTGAGCTATCGGTTATTCTGAATGAAGTATGGGCTTATTGGATGCACGTCTTTCCCGCTGGCTAACATTGATTTCCACTCACTCTTTCAGCTCCCTGTACCCTTGTGCAAATGTGTCCCTCTTCTTCGCTTGTCCCTTATTTAGCCAGCTTCTCCGACATGTCTCCTCTATTGTGGCCTTAATCCATAAAGAAATTATCACAAGATCACTCAGAGATGAGCAGACAGAGACACGGGCCGGTATTAACAGACAGACACAGAGACCGCGAGGAGGTCGGAGCACGGTGCAGAGGGATGGAGTGAAAGACAAAGAGGAAGTGAAAGAGAGACAGCAGCGCAGAGGGAGAGACAGATGGGGGTGCAGAGATGAACTGAAAGAGAGACAGAGCAGGAAACAGAGGGAGAGAGGGAGGTGTAATTATCTATCAGGTGTTCGGGTGTGCGTGACAGAGGAGGAAGCTCATTAGCACACTCTGTGTACACCAATTACACAGCCAGGCTTCTCAGGGCATTCCCCTGGCATGTCTATGTGAGGCTGCTGGGGACAAACAGGCACTTCCACTCAGTGACACCCACATGCACGCTGCTTAACCAAACTCGGCCTAAAATGCACCGGGCGCCCGGGAACAACTCGCAGACAGTAGTGTAAGACTACTAAATGTCTGATATGAGTCCTTATCGTTGGTGTTAGCTGCACAAACATCTTTTTTTTGGTGAGGAAAGATTTGCTCGCAAGTGTTGGTTTGTTCTTTTAGAATGCAGCACTCCAGTCAAAATGTAATACTAATATTAGGGGGAAAAGGTTCATTATAATGTACTTTAACGTGATAACTCTTTTACTATTAGGTACACTTTACTCCTTTCACCATCTGCCTTGACATTCACAACATTCTTCAAAGATTCAACAAGCTGCAGGAAACACTCCTCTGAGATGTGGTGGAACAACAGAATGATAACATGGACCAAAATCTCAAAGGTGTTATTGGATTGAGACCTCTTGGCTCTGGAGCTATTTGAGTACACAAAGTATCCAGAAAGGGATGGAGACAGCAACAACACTTCCTTCTAAGGATCCCAAAGTGTCCGAAAAAAGTAGAATTATAAGACCACCAACATCAGCCTGATCTGATCAGACAGAATAAACCAACACCATCATGCTGTTTAGACCCAATTCTGAACCTGCCATCCAAGTAACGCAGCAGAAATCAAGACTCATCAGACTAGGCGATGTTTTTGCAATCTTCTATCCAATTTTGGTGAGCCAGTGCAAACTGTAGCTTGAGTTTCTTGTTTTTAGGTGACAGGAATGTCTTCTGATGCTGTGGCCCATCTTGCTTCAAGGCTTGATCTGTTGCACATTCAAAGATGCTGTTCTGCAAAACGCTGTTAACAAGTTTGGCACCTTTCTATAAGCTCAATCTCCTCTGACTTCTAGCACCAACAAGGCATTATCGCCCAGAGAACTGCTGCTCACTGGATGTAGCATTTCTCTAAACTCTAGAGCTGGTTGACATGGATAAATCTGACACCAACCACCATCCCACATTCAAAGTAACTTAAATCACCTCTTTCTCATTCTAATGCTCAGTTTGAAGTTCAGCAGAACATCCTGACTATGTCTACATGCCTAAATGAATTGAGTTGCTGCTGTGTGCCATGTGTAATCTCAAGGCTTCAAACTGATATTCCACAATCCAGTGGGTGTCGTCACGTGGTTCTTTTAATTTTTTATGTAACTAGTATTCTCCCTTGAAAATAAGACCTCAACAAGACTTAATTGATGAAATAAAATCACCCTGTATTTGAAGGAATAACCACAGTTTAAGTTAACTTTGGTAAAGGACAATTAACAGTGACCCTTAAGCCAAACGCTAAAGCCATCCGAGTCTGTACTGACTTGGCACACAAACGTTATTTCACGTCTTTTTGCTAAGCTAACCAACTGTTGGTGGTAGACAACCCAAAAAACACACATCTGAAAAAAAAAAAAATCATAGTGCTTATGTAAGAAAATCTCAAATCTATTTGCAGGTCCAATCTATAGCAAGAAAAAGAGCTTGATAATAATGGAGAAGTGAATGACAAGTGCGTCCCTTTACCTGCTGAAGTTGTTTTGACTGGAAGGCACTTCTCCTACGTTGGCTACAGACAGGACCTGCTTGTTGATGGCTTGCCTGGATGCATTAGCTGTTGCCATGGTGATGGTTGCAGATGTTTCATTCATGCCCTGGAGCTTACCTGAGAAGATCAAAATGTTTAGCCACCAATAAAAATATAGTTCGGCATTTTTAAATCAGTAAGTGCAAAATTACAAGTCCACAGTCAAGTAAAGAAAAAAAACCACAACCCTAACTGTGCAGTACTGTGGAATCAGGTTTCAAGATTAAAACCTCCCAATGAAATGATGCCTTCATCAATAAAGCAAAAACAGACTCCCTGGTTGGTTCATGAACACTCAGCAATGAGCAAGCAGTTTAAAAGAAAATCACTGGTTAGGTAAAAATAAAAGAGACAAATATATTAAAAACCTATTACCATAAGAATTAAACTCCACTCATTTGGTTTTAAGAATGATAAATCTGCTAGAGAGAAAATGGTCCTGAAAAGCAAGTTGTTCTTTTTAAATTCTTTTGTCTGCGTTTCAGAGGCACTCAAAGAAAAAAAAAAAAGCACATTGAATGAAACTTAATTAATGCAGGAGCAGCATTTAGGAGGCACTTAAGAGCACACCGATGGCTCAGATATGAGTACACTCTCCAGTCTCAATAGCGATAACAGCATGCACTTCTACAGGTGTTTGTATGTGCTGGAAATACTGTTAAGTGCCTCAAAAAAGCAAGCAGTGTTTTAATGACAAAGGTAAGGAAATGCTGATTAGTGAATGACTAAATTTAACATTTGCCTGTGTGTGTGTGTGTGTGTGTGTGTATTTTGTATCTATCTATCAATCACAATCAGAACAACAAAGTCACAATATTGCAAACTAACCAATCAAGTCATTCATATTTCTCATTTTCTGTGAAGCTTCATTACCGATGTGTCAAAAGCATCTTGCCATAGCGTGGTCTGACGGCAGTTGCAGCAGCAAAAACCTTCTAAATACAGCGAAAACCTACGGCTTCCTTCAGGTGGCTAAAATCTCTTTTGCTCTTCTGACCGTGTCTGCTCAGTTTCTGAGCCGTTCAGAGCTCCCGACTGCTACGAGCAGTGCCTGATGCCAAATACTTTAACACCCTGACAGTACAACATCTGAAAAACTCAACTATCCTCAGTAGAGGAAAAACACTTGAAATGGTTTCATTTGAAGGTAACATACAAAGTGAAATTCGCTGATAAGCACAGCAAAATCTTAAATATGATCTATTAAATTTATTTGCTTCTCTCAAATTCATCAGCCAGTTTTGCTAAAGTGCTTGTGAGATTATAATAATTTCAGTACATATCATGACTTGCCATTCCATCTCAAAATATGGTGATTTGATTCAATTTGGTTCAATTTGTTTGCTTCTGTGTGTTAAACAGCTTGTTTCATTTCGGCTAACAGAATGGAAAAACAAAACACACTTTTACTTCGTTTGACAATAATCTTTGAGTCACACAGTAATTCACCTTGCTCCTTGCAGAAGTCTTGTTCTGTCATGGTGCTGACCATTAACAACTCTCCTACAGCAGGCTGGATGGACACACTGAACTGGTCCTCCTTGGTGCTGAGGAAGGATAAACACGCACGTACCACAGTAGCAAATGATTTATTTACAGAGGAAAAAACAAAAACAGATTCTTACAAAGAAATAAGCAAAAATGCCCCCCCCCAAAACAAACAAACAAACAAACAAAAAACAAACAAACAAAAACACTTTACTGCTTTTTTGCTGCATAATTTAAGACATCTGTGCACTTTTGTGTATGTATACTCGGTTTGTGTATGAAATGTTTCTCTGATCATCTTGCAAACCATGCTGGGTGAATGGCATTTTGGGCCACATTGATCCCCCCGTCCGCCCAATCTCAAACTGATTTTCTGATAAGGTTATTGATCGGCTGCACAGCGGTGCCAATGGCATTCAGCAGGTTGATTGGGCTAGGGCTGATTACTGGAGGAATAATTGTTATTCCAGTGAACCAGGATCAATTGTGCCTGATGTCTCACCTGGGAGTGCTGGCACAGAGAAAGGTAGGAAAAGGAGAATTAACAAAGAACATGAAGAGAGGAAAAAGGAACATAAGAGAAAATGACATGTAAGGGTGCCGCGATGATGAACAGGAGCAGAAAAAAGGTGGTGAGGAAGATGTACAACTGAAGGTCTTTGGGGTGGGGGGGAAACCACACCTGACTGAATATGAGTGGATGTCAGGCTGTCTTACCACAACTGGAAGTTGGCTGCTTGTGTCGAGTCGCTGAAGTCAATACCCATGGATACCGTCACCGAGGCCCCTGGCTCCAACCGCTCTGAGAGTGGAAAAGAGGGGAGGGAAGACAAGAGGAGAAAAGGAATCAGTGAGTGACAAGGGCACAGTGTGCAGTGTGGGGAAGGTGGAGAGAAGGGAGGTGGGGGCAGCAGCAGAGTGGAACAGACAGGCATCCACACCACTTGTGTTTTCTACTTCACAAAGCAAGGCCACCGTGTGTGAGAAATCTATCCTTCAATCTCATTCCACACACCTCAGCCTCAGCTACAAAAAACAAAAAACATGAAGGACTAGCATATTTCCAAAACAACAGGCTTGTCAAAGGGAGAGAGACAGAAGTGAAGCAAAGCCAAAAATGCTGAAGAGTGAATCTGGACAGCTGAATGCTAGAGGTGATGGAGGAAGAGGAGGAGGAGTGGGAGGTTAACGATGAGAAGAACACAGAGAGACAGAAACATCCTGCACGTATCCCTACTCGGCCTGCGTTTCTCTCTCTGTGGAGCAGGCCCGTTTACTGTACAACTCTTTCCACAGATAGAAGAGGAGGAGGAAGTGGAAACCCAGTGAAAAACAGAGCCGTCATGGACGCCCTCCAATCCAGCCTTCTGTGTTGGGCTCTAAATCAAGTAAAGGATTTGCTTTGTCTTTAGGGTCTTTGAGTCTGTAC